CCTTCAACGGGCACCAAGTCACCCTATCATCAGAAAGAAAATGATCATCCGCTAGTACATGACCAGCAATCTGGCGCCTTGGCATGAGATCACCTTCACAAAGCCTTGGTGTCCACCTTTAACCCTTCTGTTATGTCACACTACACACCGTTATGTTGCTCGATAACCCTTTTTTGTAATTCTTATTGGGTGTTCGCCCATCTTTGAAGATCAGCTGCCAAGCACTCTAATGGAGGTCCTACCAATTTTACCCAAAGACCATTACTAAAAGTTTTCTTTATTCAAACCAGAAAGGAAACCTAACTTCGGACATAAACTGACAACTTATAGATATATATAAAGATAAATGTATGTATATCGACCCAAATAAGAATCATTATCAAAATCATTTCCTATAGTACACATTCTGAAAAAAGTCACAAGCTTCTATCTTCAAAAACAATGAATACTCTTTCTTTATATGTACGCGAAATAGGCCTTTCAACCATAAAAATAAGGAGAAGGTCCTTCTTCTTTTTCTGTCTATATAGACATAGCTATAGAAGAAGCTATAGCTTTTCTTCACCTTGCATGGCCTTGGTTTCTCCTGTCGTTATCGCCTAAAACTTTCGGTTTATTCATCGACAGTTTGAGAGCCAGTGACTAAGGCAGTACTGATCTCCAGAGCCCTGAGGTACTGAGACCAGTCAGGTACTGAATCGCTATGGTCATCTGCGACATGATTTCCTAATCAGCCAAAAATGTGGCCAAAATGACAAGAGCGCCTTGATTGTATTGGCACCAGGTGCTGAGGAAATGGAGTTTACCATATCGGCCGATGTCCTTCGAAGAGCAAAGGTGAGTTCACTGGAAGGACAGTCTGAATGGGGGACTGGGACTTGGCTTAAAGCTAATGCTATTAATGAATAGATCAACGTAACTGTGGCTGGATTGGATACGTGTGAGCCCATCAAGTGTTCCCGGGGAGTTGTCATTGTGCCCGATACTTCTCTGGAGCAGGCAATGGGCCATGGTAACTACGATGTAGTGGTCCTGCCCGGTGGGTTGGCCGGCAACAAGGCCTTGATGGGCTCCAGTGCTGTGGGTGAACTTTTACGCCAGCAGGAGTCCCAGGGCGGACTAATCGCCGCCATATGTGCCGCACCCACTGCTCTGGCCAAGCACGGAATAGCGAAGGGAAAGACCCTGACATCTCACCCAGATATGAGGCGCCAGTTGGAGGAAAAGTATTGGTAAGTCATTCATTTTTAAAGCATTCATAACCCTTTTCTTGTTAGCTACATATACGATCAAAGTGTGGTTCAAGACGGAAACCTAATTACTAGCCGAGGACCTGGAACATCTTTTGATTTCGCCCTGAAGATTGTTGAGGAATTGGCAGGAGTCGAGGTGGCCAAGGATGTTGCCAAACCGATGTTGGTCACTTTTAAGCCGTAATTGAATTATAAGGAATTTCAAAGCATTGCTTGTAAAAATTATTTTGATTTAATCCACATTAAGGGGTAATAGAACGTCTGTTTGAAAAACAAGGAGGCGCCAAAAGGTCTTTTCGGTTTCTTGAGTTTGGAAGCAGTTTCCTGGGTGTTCATGGGCTTATCCAGCTTGTCCAGATACTCCTTCTATCCTTCTATCTATCCCAATCTGTCCTTGTATCCTTCTACTTGTGGCAGTTGTTATGTGGCAAGTTGTTTGGGTTCTTGGTTAATGAGTCATAGATAGATAAGGCTTTAATAAAAAAAACATTTATAGAAAGTTTGAGAAGTTAAAGAGGAGAGTATCGGGTATCATATAGTCTATAGTAACCTGGACTATTGCCCTCTATTTAAGTTAGATAATTATACATTTGCAATTTTAAAATTTTTCTAGAAAATCGGCGTTATATTTCGTCTCCTTGAAAATGAGTTATAGATTGGTTATGCATAAAATGAATTAAGTATGGCCCTATTTAAAAGGGGAGATACTATTTCAAGCTAAAATAAAGATGGATTTATGATGGAGCTGTTCGGATGGAATATTTTAATCTTTGTGATAGCGATGTATTGCAGCAGGCTATGTACACCCAATTATAATTCAAACCAATGTGCTTGCCCTAGCAGATATCGACCTGTTCATCCACTTGAAAGAGGAATATAATCAATGTAATTGATGAACATTAATAAACTTTTGTTTTTTTAATAAAAATCTGACCAGCGGTCAAAAGTTTTCTCAAAACATGTCTTGTTCCTGAAAGTACTAATTATTTAATACTAGTACTAAAGTATTTAATTATTTTTATGGCAAGATATAGGATTATAGGCGCTATAGGATTTGGCATGGAGACTTCTATAATGCCCATGCAGTTCATGTTTGTTTCAAATTTTTGCCACGCCCCCTTCCGGCCGCACAAATTGCAAATTTCTGAAGCGCTTGTACTGCAAAGTTTTTTGAATAACTTTTGATTCCCATTTTTTTCTATATTTAATTTATATCTGAAACTTTTTTATATCCTATTAATTAACTAATTTATTAATAAAACTAATTTATATCCCAAATCGGGAGATTTTTAGGGGAGATATATCCATATATTTACAATTTCCCATACAAACGGGGTAAAATTTTAAACGCTTCCCCACAAAAAAAATGCAACAAAAATTGTTGCAGTTACTAATTTTAAAAATACGTTTCATTGTAAGGACTTTAGTTCAGGGTAAAGTGGAAAATTATATTTGGTTCTGCATTGATGGTTTGTTAGTTGCAAGCCAAACCATTTCCTATATAAATTAAGGTGTTTTAAAAGTCAACAATGCTTTTAATTCTTGAATTAAGGGAAACGGACTGATTTGAAAGAATGAAACTTCAAGGCTTGACCCTTTGTTTAGTTGTATTGTTGTTTGGATCAATAGTGGAAACGAAAAATATTATATGCCATCCTGGATTTCACTTTGATAAGAGCATGAACTGTGTTCCTGATTCTAAATAAAATTCAAAGTTATAATTTTTCAGTTTCAAGAGACTTGAAATGAATCGAATCAGTTTAATATTCGATTGGACATATTTGGAGAAATAAAGTTCATTGTTGTTTCCAACCTGAGAAGTGTGGCTTTTATTAAATGGTAATGGTTATGAATTTTAGGTATTAATTATTTTGGGCGCTTAATGTCAAATAAATTAATAATGATCGAGTTATAATGATTTAATGCAGTAAATTATAGTTTCTTCATTTCAAATCAAAGTAAACTTTTTTAAAGAATACACAATTTCTTTGGATTTATCAATATTAACATTAAAAATACAAATTAATAGTAGTTTGTAACTAACTCTTAGTTTCAGTGCACAGTTTTCAAAAAAGGAAGCTCAGATGACGTCCCGGACAATAAAAAGGGTATAAGATTTTTTTTTCTTCGAGATGTTGCCAGAATTTCAATAAGCATAATAAATTTCAAATAAACGTTTCATAGTAAGGATCTTATTCCAGGGTAAAGTGAAAAATTATATTTGGTTCTGTATGATGGTTTGTTAGTTAGAAGCCAAACCATTTTCTGAATTAAGGGAAACGGACTGATTTGAAAGAATAAAACTTCAAGGCTTGACCCTTTGTTTAGTTGGATTGTTGTTTGGATTAATAGTGGCATACTCTATGGCCTTCCACCGCGGGTGTAGACTGTCCTGCCGTTAAGGGGCTTCTATGACTGCAGCTATTTATATATGCTTTATTGTGAAATCGGAAATCAGAAAAAGTCTTAATATTTTCTTTGCGAAATTCAAGACCTACCATATCCGCTTGGCAACAAAAAAGTTTTCTTTTTTTCAGGACTCCTGTATGAGGGAGTCCTACATAAAAAAGAGACGTCTACATAGGCTTCCAGCTCTGTAAGGTGCAGCACAATTGCAAAGAATACTGAATCATATCGTAGCAGTATATCGGGATACGTTAGTTTCTAACATCGAAGCTTAGTTCTTAAATCTAAGAGAAGCTTACACCAGTCGGCATAAATATTTTGACGAAAAAATGGATTATTTTTTATAACTTTTTATTAAACATAACTTAACATTAAACATTTTTTTTTTCATTTCATATCTCGTTAATACACACTTCAAAATTATATAACAAATAATTATTAATTTAAATATAAAAAATATATATAAATATATAAAATGTATATAAATATATAAAATATATATAAATATATAATATATATATAAATATATAAAATATATAATCCCCTTCAGTTTGAATAACTTTTTGAAGTCGTTTTGGAACTGAGTCCACTAAAGCTTTGAGGGTATCCGTGGACACATCGTTCCAAAGGGAAGACACTTCGCGAATTGTTTCTTCGTTGCTTTTATGCAAAGAAGCAATTTGCTTCCGCTTTATGAGGGACCACATTTTTTCAATAACATTCAAGGCTGGACTTTGTGGTGGCCAGTCGAGAGTATTGACACCAACATCCTGTACAAATTTGGTGATCATTCTGCTTTTGTGGCATGGGGCATTATCCTGTTGCAGGATAAATGATTCACCGATAAGCTTGTCTCCGGAAGGGAAACAGTTATCATTTAGCACTCTCAAATATTGACCCTGGCGCATCGAGCCTTCAACGGGCACCAAGTCACCCTATCATCAGAAAGAAAATGATCATCCGCTAGTACATGACCAGCAATCTGGCGCCTTGGCATGAGATCACCTTCACAAAGCCTTGGTGTCCACCTTTAACCCTTCTGTTATGTCACACTACACACCGTTATGTTGCTCGATAACCCTTTTTTGTAATTCTTATTGGGTGTTCGCCCATCTTTGAAGATCAGCTGCCAAGCACTCTAATGGAGGTCCTACCAATTTTACCCAAAGACCATTACTAAAAGTTTTCTTTATTCAAACCAGAAAGGAAACCTAACTTCGGACATAAACTGACAACTTATAGATATATATAAAGATAAATGTATGTATATCGACCCAAATAAGAATCATTATCAAAATCATTTCCTATAGTACACATTCTGAAAAAAGTCACAAGCTTCTATCTTCAAAAACAATGAATACACTCTTTCTTTATATGTACGCGAAATAGGCCTTTCAACCATAAAAATAAGGAGAAGGTCCTTCTTCTTTTTCTGTCTATATAGACATAGCTATAGAAGAAGCTATAGCTTTTCTTCACCTTGCATGGCCTTGGTTTCTCCTGTCGTTATCGCCTAAAACTTTCGGTTTATTCATCGACAGTTTGAGAGCCAGTGACTAAGGCAGTACTGATCTCCAGAGCCCTGAGGTACTGAGACCAGTCAGGTACTGAATCGCTATGGTCATCTGCGACATGATTTCCTAATCAGTCATCAGGAAGTTGAGTGTTATGATGGATATAAATATTCATAGTCTCTTTCTAATATTTAAATAAACATTAACGTTGACTTTCCACTCCGTTTGTTGGGGTTGCTCCCAAAATATGTTGTTAGGTTTGGGCAGATCGTTTGGCAGACTTGGCTTCTATATAGAACCCTTTCGCTTGGCCAGCCAAAAATGTGGCCAAAATGACAAGAGCGCCTTGATTGTATTGGCACCAGGTGCTGAGGAAATGGAGTTTACCATATCGGCCGATGTCCTTCGAAGAGCAAAGGTGAGTTCACTGGAAGGACAGTCTGAATGGGGGACTGGGACTTGGCTTAAAGCTAATGCTATTAATGAATAGATCAACGTAACTGTGGCTGGATTGGATACGTGTGAGCCCATCAAGTGTTCCCGGGGAGTTGTCATTGTGCCCGATACTTCTCTGGAGCAGGCAATGGGCCATGGTAACTACGATGTAGTGGTCCTGCCCGGTGGCTTGGCCGGCAACAAGGCCTTGATGGGGTCCAGTGCTGTGGGTGAACTTTTACGCCAGCAGGAGTCCCAGGGCGGACTAATCGCCGCCATATGTGCCGCACCCACTGCTCTGGCCAAGCACGGAATAGCGAAGGGAAAGACCCTGACATCTCACCCAGATATGAGGCGCCAGTTGGAGGAAAAGTATTGGTAAGTCATTCATTTTTAAAGCATTCATAACCCTTTTCTTGTTAGCTACATAGACGATCAAAATGTGGTTCAAGACGGAAACCTAATTACTAGCCGAGGACCTGGAACATCTTTTGATTTCGCCCTGAAGATTGTTGAGGAATTGGCAGGAGTCGAGGTGGCCAAGGATGTTGCCAAACCGATGTTGGTCACTTTTAAGCCGTAATTGAATTATAAGGAATTTCAAAGCATTGCTTGTAAAAATTATTTTGATTTAATCCACATTAAGGGGTAATAGAACGTCTGTTTGAAAAACAAGGAGGCGCCAAAAGGTCTTTTCGGTTTCTTGAGTTTGGAAGCAGTTTCCTGGGTGTTCATGGGCTTATCCAGCTTGTCCAGATACTCCTTCTATCCTTCTATCTATCCTATTCTATCCTTGTATCCTTCTACTTGTGGCAGTTGTTATGTGGCAAGTTGTTTGGGTTCTTGGTTAATGAGTCATAGATAGATAAGGCTTTAATAAAAAAAACATTTATAGAAAGTTTGAGAAGTTAAAGAGGAGAGTATCGGGTATCATATAGTCTATAGTAACCTGGTCTATTGCCCTCTATTTAAGTTAGATAATTATACATTTGCAATTTTAAAATTTTTCTAGAAAATCGGCGTTATATTTCGTCTCCTTGAAAATGAGTTATAGACTGGTTATGCATAAAATTAATTAAGTATGGCCCTATTAAAAAGGGGAGATACTATTTCAAGCTGAAATAAAGATGGATTTATGATGGAGCTGTTCGGATGGAATATTTTAATCTTTGTGATAGCGATTTATTGCAGCAGGCTATGTACACCCAATTATAATTCAAACCAATGTGCTTGCCCTAGCAGATATCGACCTGTTCATCCACTTGAAAGAGGAATATAATCAATGTAATTGATGAACATTAATAAACTTTTGTTTTTATACCCTTGCAGAGGGTATTATAATTTTGTCCAAAAGTGTGCAACGCAGTGAAGGAGACATCTCCGACCCTATAAAGTATATATATTCTTGATCAGGATCACCTCCTGAGTTGATATGAGCATGTCCGTCTGTCCGTCTTTGGTGCTTTTAAAGTTAGGGAGTTCAAATTTTAGGTGCGAGCTATTTTTGGCAAAATAATACGACACGCCAAATTCTGTAAGGATCGGCAGACTATATCCTATAGCTGCCATATAACTGAACGATCGGAAATGGTATTTGGTAGAAATATCAACCTTCGTATATTTGAAGATAGAAGTTTGGGACTTTTTTTAGATTTTGTATTGTAATTAATTGGTTTTATTATGATGTAATCATAAGGATCGGCCAACTATATCCGATGTTTGCGATATATATCCGGTTTTAACTGCAAGGGTATATCAACTTCGGCTCCGCCCGAAGTTAGCTTTGCTTTCTTGTTTTATATTTAATTTATATCTGAAACACCATTTTCATCCAAATCGGGAGATTTTTAGGGGAGATATACCCATATATTTACAATTTCCCATACAAACGGGCTAAAATTTTGAACGCTTCCCCACAAAAGTATGCAACAAAAATTGTTGCTGAGAATCCATACCGTTAAAGTTTAAACTCTAAAAGTTAATTAAATTGAGGGTGGAAGGTATGAGTACCGGGTATAATATAGTCGGGAAACTCGACTATAGCCCTCCCTGCAGTTTTTGTTATATAATATGCACTTTCATTATTTTCTAGAAAATCGATGATGAAAATATATTCTGTATCCTGAAAATAAATTATAGATTGGTTCTGCATTAAATGAATTAAGTATTCTGACCTGAACATGTACAAAGAAATGTTCAAACAAAACCAATATAATTCATGAATTTTAATGAACTCGTTTTCTAAAAACATGTTTTTTAAACATATTTTTTAAATTCGGTATACATTAACGAAAAAATAAATCTGAAAGAATTTCAAAGTTCCTTTCAATAGTTGGATCTCCGATGGAATATCCTGAATATTTAGATATTTTCATAGTTTAGGAAAATATTGATGCATATCGTAGATAAATTATAAATTAAAACCATAAACGTATAAACTCATTTTTTAGTATTCTTGAACGCCTTTTAAAAATAATGTGAGTCTTATAAACAGCAGTTACTAATTTTAAAAATACGTTTCATTGTAAGGACTTTAGTTCAGGGTAAAGTGGAAAATTATATTTGGTTCTGCATTGATGGTTTGTTAGTTTGAAGCCAAACCATTTTCTGTATAAATTAGGGTGTTTTAAAAGTCAACAACACTTTTAATTCTTGAATTAAGGGAAACGGACTGATTTGAAAGAATGAAACTTCAAGGCTTGACCCTTTGTTTAGTTCTATTGTTGTTTGGATCAATAGTGGCAACCAAAAAACATCCTAAATGCTCTCCTGGAAAGATATTTAATGAGAAAAGGGAATGTGTTCCTGAGTCTGGATAAAATTCAAAGTTATATTCAAAGTTCAGTTTCAAGAGACTTGAAATGAATCGAATCAGTTTAATATTCGATTGGACATATTTGGAGAAATAAAGTTCATTGTTGTTTCCAACCTGAGAAGTGTGGCTTTTATTAAATGGTAATGGTTATGAATTTCAGGTATTAATTATTTTGGGCGCTTAATGTCAAATAATGATCGAGTTATAATGATTTAATGCAGTAAATAATAGTTCCTTTCAACTCAAATCAAAGTGAATAAAACTTAATTAAAGAATATAACATTTCTTAGGTTTAATCAATATTAACATTACAAATACAAATTAATTATATTTTATAAAATTACTAATTTCAAAAAGTATTTATTTTAAAAACAGCGACAAACTAATTGACTTAACCAGTTAGTGTTAACAAGTTTGTAAACCGTAATAGTAATAGTGGCATACTCTATGGTCTTCCACCGCGGGTGTAGACTGTCCTGCCGTTAAAGGGCTTCTATGACTGCAGCTATGACTGCTTTATTGTGAAATCGGAAATCAGAAAAAGTCTTAAGATTTTCTTTGCGAAAATCAAGACCTTCCATATCCGCTTGGCAACAAAAAAGTTTTCTTCTTTTCAGGACTCCTGTATGAGGGAGTCCTACATAAAAAAGAGACGTCTACATAGGCTTCCAGCTCTGTAAGGTGCAGCACAATTGCAAAGAATACTGAATCATATCGTAGCAGTATATCGGGATACGTTAGTTTCTAACATCGAAGCTTAGTTCTTAAATCTAAGAGAAGCTTACACCAGTCGGCATAAATATTTTGACGAAAAAATGGATTATTTTTTATAACTTTTTATTAAACATAACTTAACATTAAACATTTTTTTTTTCATTTCATATCTCGTTAATACACACTTCAAAATTATATAACAAAAAATTATTAATTTAAATATAAAAAATATATATAAATATATAATATATATAAATATATACTATATATAAATATATAATATATATAAAATATATAATCCCCTTCAGTTTGAATAACTTTTTGAAGTCGTTTTGGAACTGAGTCCACTAAAGCTTTGAGGGTATCCGTGGACACATCGTTCCAAAGGGAAGAAACTTCGCGAATTGTTTCTTCGTTGCTTTTATGCAAAACAGCAATTTGCTTCCGCTTTATGAGGGACCACATGTTTTCAATAACATTCAAGGCTGGACTTTGTGGTGGCCAGTCGAGAGTATTGACACCAACATCCTGTACAAATTTGGTGATCATTCTGCTTTTGTGGCATGGGGCATTATCCTGTTGCAGGATAAATGATTCACCGATAAGCTTGTCTCCGGAAGGGAAACAGTTATCATTTAGCACTCTCAAATATTGACCCTGGCGCATCGAGCCATTAAAAAAATATTTTTCTTGAATGCCCCCAGAAGGATTTTATCGTCATTTGTCGTTGTTTTGCGTTTGGCACCCAATAGTGGCCAGTTGTTAATAGTTTTATGTTTTTTAAATTTGTTTTTTTGATAATGAACTGATTGACGCGATAGTTTAAATTCATTTGCAATGTCTTTTACGGCAACATCAGGTTCAAACTTCGTTAAGATTGAAGTCCTAACAACAAGATTTAACTCGGCCGTTTTCACTATAATCCTTAAACATACATTTTTTGTTTAATTATTTTATATTAACAAGAAAGGAAAGCTAACTTCGAGGGAGCCGAAGTTGATATACCCTTGCAGTTAAAACCGGATATATATCGCAAACATCGGATATAGTTGGCCGATCCTTATGAGTATATGATAATATAACCCAATTTATTATAATATAAAATCTAAAAAAAGTTCCAAAATTCTATCTTTAACAATACGTCCAATTCCGATCGTTCAGTTTTATGGGAGCTATAAGATATAGTCAGCCGGTCGTTATTAAATTTGGTAGGTCGGATTAACTCACCAAAAATGTAATCAGTACCAAGTTCCAGATTTCTATCTTCAAAAACACAAAAGTTGGATCATTTCCGATCGTTCAGTTATATGGCAGCTATAGGATATAGTCTGTCGATCCTTATGAAAGTTGGCACGTCGAAAAATTTTGCCAAAAATATTTCTCGTGTCAAATTTGAAATATCTAACTCTTGAAACACCAAAGTTATACCATTTCCGATAAATCAGTTATATGGCAGCTATGGGATATAGTCGGCCGATCCCGGTCGTTCCGACTTATATATAGTGCGTGCAAAGAAAAAAAGGGTGTGTGCAAAGTTTCAAGTCGATAGCTTTAAAACTGAGAGACTAGTTCGCGTAGAAACGGACAGACAGACGGACAGACGGACATGCTCATATCAACTCAGGAGGTGATCCTGATCAAGAATATGTATACTTTATAGGGTCGGAGATGTCTCCTTCACTGCGTTGCAAACTTTTGGACAAAATTATAATACCCTCTGCAAGGGTATAAAAATTTGTTAATAAAGCTTAACCAGTACAAAATTTCGATCAGTCCTTGTTGAAACTCGCGAAATAATCAAAGTGATCATCCGCTAGTACATGACACAAAGCCTTGGTGTCCACCTTTAACCCTTCTGTTATGTCACACTACACACCGTTATGTTGCTCGTTAACCCTTCATTGTAATGCGTATTGGGTGTTCGCCCATCTTTGAAGATCAGTTGCCAAGCACTCTAATGGAGGTCCTACCTATTTTACCCAAAGACCATTACTAAACATTTTCTTTATTCAAACCAGAAAGGAAACCTAACTTCGTACATAAACTGGCAACTTATAGATATGTATAAAGATAAATGTATGTATATCGACCCAAATAAGAATCATTATCAAAATCATTTCCTATAGTACACATTCTGAAAAAGTCACAAGCTTCTATCTTCAAAAACAATGAATACACTCTTTCTTTATATGTACGTAAAATAGGCCTTTCAACCATAAAAGTAAGGAGAAGGTCCTTCTTCTTTTTCTGTCTATATAGACATAGCCATAGAAGAAGCTATAGCTTTTCTTCACCTTGCATGGCCTTTGTTTTTCCTGTCGTTATCGCCTAAAACTTTCGGTTTATTCTTCGACAGTTTGAGAGCCAGTGACTAAGGCAGTACTGATCTCCAGACCCCTGAGGTACTGAGACCAGTCAGGTACTGAATCGCAATGGTCATCTGCGACATGATTTCCTAATCAGTCATCAGGAAGTTGAGTGTCATAAAAGACATATTCATAGTCTCTTCCTAATATTTAAATAAAAATTAACGTTGACTTCCACTCCGTTTTTTGGGGTTGCTCCCAAAATATGTTGTTAGGTTGGGGAGATCATTGGGACGACTTATGGCGACTATCTGTGGCTGGATTGGATATTTGTGAGCCCATCAAGTGTTTCCGGGGAGTTGTCATTGTGCCCGATACTTCTCTGGAGCAGGCAATGGGCCAAGGTAACTTCGATGTAGTGGTCCTGCCCGGTGGCTTGGCCGGCAACAAGGCCTTGATGGGGTCCAGTGCTGTGGGTGAACTTTTACGTCAGCAGGAGTCCCAGGGCGGACTTATCGCCGCCATATGTGCCGCACCCACGGCTCTGGCCAAGCACGAAATAGCGAAGGGAAAGACCCTGACATCTCACCCAGATATGCGGCGCCAGTTGGAGGAAAAGTATTGATAAGTTATTCATTTTAAAAGGATTCATAACCCTCAAGACGGAAACCTAATTATTAGCCGAGGACCTGGAACCTGGATCTTTTGATTCCGACTAGTTAAAGAGGAGAGTATCGGGTATCATATAGTCTATAGTAACCTGGACTATTGCCCTCTAGTTTTGTTAGATAATTATACATTTGCAATTTTAAAATTTTCCTAGAAAATCGGGTTATATGAGTATAATGAAAATGAGTTATAGATTGGTTATGCATAAAATGAATTAAGTATGGCATTATTAAAAAGGGAAGATACTTTTTCAAGCTGAAATAAAGACGGATTTATGATGGAGCTGTTTGGATAGAATACTTTAATCTTTGTGATAGCGGTTATTTTCAGCAAGCTATGTACTGGTAATCTTAATTCAACCCCATGTTATTTCCCCTGGCAGACATCGACCTGCTCATCCACTTGAAAGAGGAATCTAATCAATGTAATTGATGAACATTAATAAACTTTTGTTTTTTTAATAAAAATCTGACCAGCGGTCAAAAGTTTTCTCAAAACATGTCTTTTTCCTGAAATTACTATATTTAATTATTTTTATGGCGAGATATAGGATTATAGGCGCTATAGGATTTGGCATGGAGACTTCTATAATGCCCATGCAGTTCATGTTTGTTTCAAATTTTTGCCACGCCCCCTTCCGGCCGCACAAATTGCAAATTTCTGTAGCGCTTTTTGAATAACTTTTGATTTAAATTTTTTGTTATATTTAATTTATATCTGAAACACCAATTTCATCCAAATCGGGAGATTTTTAGGGGAGATCTACCCATATATTTACAATTTCCCATACAAACGGGCTAAAATTTTGAACGCTTCCCCACAAAAGTATGCAACAAAAATTGTTGCTGAGAATCCATACCGTTAAAGTTTAAACTCTAAAAGTTAATTAAATTGAGGGTGGAAGGTATGAGTACCGGGTATAATATAGTCGGGAAACTCGACTATAGCCGTCCCTGCAGTTTTTATTATATAATATGCACTTTCATTATTTTCTAGAAAATCGATGATGAAAATATATTCTGTATCCTGAAAATAAATTATAGATTGGTTCTGCATTAAATGAATTAAGTATTCTGACCTGAACATTTACATAGAACATAGAAAGGTTCAAACAAAACCAATATAATTCATGAATTTTAATGAACTCGTTTTCTAAAAACATATCTTTATCCTCAAAGTATTTAATTATTTTTTCAAATATTTTTAGGATAGGTATACATTAACGAATAAATAAATTGGAAATCATTTCAAAATTCCTTTCAAATATTCATTTTTTAGCCGCATTGGTTTCATTTCATTAGTTGGATCTCCCGTGGAAGATCCTGAATATTTATATATTTTCATAATTTGGGAAAATATTGATGCATATGATAAATAAATTAGATAAATTATAAATTAAAACCATAAACGTATAAACTCATTTTTTAGTAATCTTGAAGGCCTTTTAAAAATAATGTGAAAGTCTTATAAACAGCGGTAACTAATTTTAAAAATACGTTTTATTGTAAGGACTTTAGTTCAGGGTAAAGTGGAAAATTATATTTGGTTCTGCATTGATGGTTTGTTAGTTTGAAGCCAAACCATTTTCTGTATAAATTAGGGTGTTTTAAAAGTCAACAACACTTTTAATTCTTGAATTAAGGGAAACGGACTGATTTGAAAGAATGAAACTTCAAGGCTTGAACATTTTTTTAGTTGTATTGTTGTTTGGATGCATTCCTGGATTTCACTTTGATAAGAACAGGCAATGTGTTCCTAAATCTGGATAAAATTCAATGTTATAATTTTTCAGTTTCAAGAGGCTTGAAATGAATCGAACCAGTTTAATATTCGATTGGACATATTTGGAGAAATAAAGTTCATTGTTGTTTCCAACCTGAGAAGTGTGGCTTTTATTAAATGGTAATGGTTATGAATTTCAGGTATTAATTATTTTGGGCGCTTAATGTCAAATAAATTAATAATGATCGAGTTATAATGATTTAATGCAGTAAATTATAGTTTCTTCATTTCAAATCAAAGTAAACTTTTTTAAAGAATACACAATTTCTTTGGGTTTATCAATATTAACATTAAAAATACAAATTAATAGTAGTTTGTAACTAACTCTTAGTTTCAGTGCACAGTTTTCAAAAAAGGAAGCTCAGATGACGTCCCGGACAATAAAAAGGGTATACGATTTTTTTTTTCTACGAGATGTAGCCAGAATTTCAATAAACATAATAAATATCAAATAAACGTTTCATAGTAAGGATCTTACTCCGGGGTAAAGTGGAAAATTATATTTGGTTATGCATTGATGGTCTATTAGTTACAAACCAAAACCATTTTCTATACAAATTATCGAGTTCTTAAAGTCAAAACTACTTGTTATTCTTGCATTAAATTCTTTCACTTGTTATTCTTGCATTATTATTTGTATTTTGTATTTGTATTTTTAATGTTTATATTGATTAAACCTAAGAAATATTATATTCTTTAATAAAGTTTTATTCACTTTGATTTGAGGTAATAGTCTGAAATATTATTCACTGCATTAAGGGGGACATCTGAGTAACAGGGGGAAAAAAGCGGATTTTCTGAAATTTTTGGCCGTAATTTAACCGTAATTTACCGTAACCATAACTCTTATTTTTAGTGCGCAGTTTTTAAAAAAGGAGGCTCAAATAGAAAGAATATAAGAACTTTCTTTTTTGTACGAGATGTTGCCAGAATTTCAACAAACAGCTGAAATAGGTAGCCCTGAAAATGGCCATTTGTGAACCGGGAATTTATTTTGATATATTGCCAGCCCTAGCCGCTTGAATACGGCCGTCTGGCAACACTGCTCCGAAAGAGACTCAAAACAAAAAGAGAGGGCGCGCGGTTCGGATTCGGTCGCGGACAAATCCATCGGGAAATTTAGCGGAGGTAACAATCTGCCGGGTCTAAAACCAATTAATTAGTTGACCAAAATTAAGTATAAAATCTAAGTCTTGGGAACTACGACAAGTGTAATTTTTTTATAATTAAGCTAAGCTTATCGACTCAAGCGGAGTTGTGATCGTCTGATAAGCTTTTTTCCTAGGGAAATAAGAACTTTCTTAACAAAATCGAATAGATTTCGTTGAATATTAAAAAAAAATAACTGAAATTTTTAAAATTTTGTGGTGTGTTAACGTTTTTGAATCCGGGCTCTCCCCACGTGAATTGTTTGTTGTCGTTGCGCCCGCTGCACTTGTAGTCTTGCAGTCGGCAGCCTGCAGGCGTGTGTGCGTGTGTTAGTGTGCCTGAGTGTAGACGGGTCATTAAATGCGCCGAGCCGTTCTTTTGGTAAATTGCACAAGTGTAACGGTTTTGAAGAAGTGCAGCTACCACAACATTGCGATCCGGATCGGGTGATGTAAAGCTCGTAACCAGAATACCAGCGAAAAAGTGCAGTTCATTCAAACTGAATGCGAAAGCGGCAGAAGCGACAGCACCAGTACAACAGTACACCAGTACACGAAATAAATTGCCATAAATTATTATTGTTATAAGCTATTGCGTGCCCGTACTAAAATGATGAAAGAAAAGATAGATAGAAAAAAAACAGTGCAACGGCTAATGAAAAGCGCTCGAATTGTGGAAAAATGGAAAATGTGCGAGCTGTGTATATAACAGTGAATTGTGAAAATTAACATAGAGCAGGAGCGAGGAAAGCCAAGAAGGAAAATAATGTGGAAAACACAAAGAGAGGCCGAGGAACCACAAGAAGTGGAGGACGATGAAAAACGTTTGCTGCACTTACACATACACATACACAGGCAAACTAGTGTATACCCAGTACCATTTCCCACCCTCTCGCCACGTCCTTTTCCTGTCTGGTTTTTGTTATTTTTTTTTGTTTTTCGTTTTTTGCTTCTCATCTCTCACCGAGAGGAAACCTGACATGCGCTCTCCTCTCCTCTGCCGCTCTCGCCCCACTGCAGTTGCGGCAGTTGCGGTGCCCTTTGGGAGCGCTCAACGCTCCTTCCTTTTCATGAGTCACGGACGAGGGCAGCGCGGTCGGTCCCCGTGTAAAATAAGAAGAATTGTGCAAAAGCCCCAGTGACAGTGCCCCAACAGCCATTAAAGTAACCGAATGCCGCGTATTCGGCCAACCTCAGCAGTTTCCATCCAGCAAAGTGCAATGTGCTAAATGCTAAAATAAAAGGCGTTACTTGTTCCTTTGGCCCCTATTTCGCGGTGGCTTTTAAATACACATTCGGCTATTTGTGTACCGTTTATTCTCTTCCTCGTTCTGCCAAATGTGTGTGAGTGGAATTTTTAACTCGCCAACAGCCGTGGCCTTATGTTGAAGTGGGGGCGGGGGCGGGTAAACAAATTAAATAATTTGTTTATAAACTGTGTCAGAGCTAAAGTCATGTGTGCCGCGTTCCAACCCGCTCCCTCCTATGACGTAGGATCATTGACAGTCGAACATCCCTAACCCGAACACTCACTATTCATGTCTTTCTTATCTTCAGTTACAGTTAACTTTTGTTAACCACCCTATTGGGAGAGAGAGTTACAGTTAAACTTTGTTTGTGCATTCCGGTTGTGTAGTTTTGAATAAAAGTGACTGTAGGAGAGGAGGCTCCACTGTACACTAGCCTAGTTGCTGGCCGGCTAATCAAAGCAAATCCAGCACAATAATTTTCTTTTCTCCATTCTCCACTGCTTCTCGCCAATCTGGTCCATCTTTCTCCATTTTTTCTATGCTATCTCGCTAACATTCTCGCCCTTGTGCTTTATCAGAGACCTGCTCTAATTAGCAATAATGCCACACTTTTTGTCATCTGATATTCTAAAAACAACAAAAAAAATCAATAATGTACTGAGAGGGTGGTGGTCAACTTGACGTTTTTATGAGTGCTGGGTGGGTGACACATCCCATGTGCCAAGTGCCGTTCCTTTTTTATCATTCATTCAATCGGCCAGGCTACACGGCATTACTCACTCGCACGCACACCCTTGCGGATGGGCCACGAGACGCAGCGGAAACGTGTGCGTGAGCGACAGGCCCTGACACTGACCACAGGTAGAGCAGCGCTGTCTTCTGCTCACCTTTGCTTTGCCTCCCACTCTCTCACTAGCGCTCTCTGGTCTCTGCTCTCCTGCTCCTTTTGCCGGTCTGTGCTCTGTTTACACTTTTGTTTGTTTTTCTTTTTGGCTTTTTTGTTTTTTTTTTAGAAACCATCCCCAGAATTGAATGGAATTGGCGGCTGGCCCAATATTTTTAGGGTTATATGGTTGTCTCCTTCATCATCCCTTGAATAATTAATAGTTTGTCCAATTAGTTTAGCGAAAACAGATAAAATATATAATTTCTAGATTCGTGTTTATAAAAATAAATGTAATAACTAAATAAAACTATAATTAGTTCATGAATTCTCATATCAGAGTCTTAAAGGTGAGCACTACGAGAAAAAAGAAACCCTATTGGGTTTAATATGGTAATCTGGTGTATCATCCCTTAAATAACCCTTAGTTGTTGTTTGAAAGAATTATTTTCATAAAACCTGAAAGCCCTATGTTCTAATATGGTCCTCTATTACTCATCCGTGAGATATTTTCTAGTCCAGCTCACAAATCAGCAAACTTATTTCATTATAAAGAATTCTTTTCAAAAAAACCTTATAAAGGGTGGATGAAACATTGTAACACAATCCTAGAAAAATTGTCACTATTTTGAAAAAGAATAAATAACTTTAGATCATCTCCTAGATATCCTTTAGATTAGTTTATAAATCAGTTACAATATATTTTTTTTTTTCGAGAATAATCTTTATAAAAACCCTATAAAGGGTGTTAAGGGATTTAACTTTGGCCTCGTATCACATAATCCCAAAGAAGTTGTTGTTCTGGGATGTTCAACAATGAATTCCTATCTTCTAATATGATTATATATTCTACCATCTCTTATATATCCTTTAGTTTAGCATATAATCGAAAAAATATATATAATTTTAGGGGATTTTTTTTATGAAAAATCTATCAAGACTCTTAAAATAATAGGCTCATTTAGTCTTGTATTACATATTTCCCAGAACTAATTCTAGCATTTCGAAATAAGAATATTTTCCAATCATCCAATATGGATATTATGTCTGCCTTCCCTTAGATATCTTTTAGTTTGCAAATCAACTTAAAAATTTTAATTTAAAGTTGTTGTTTTTCACAAAATCCCTATTAAGAAGGTCTTATATCCCTTAGTGGGTGGGTCTTCGTGGGTCCTGTCTTAGATCCCAACATTTTCAGAGCTATTTTCAAGATATATGTAACTCAACCCAACCTCTTAATTATATGATATATTCTACCATAAGATATCATACCCTTAGATATCATAACCTTTATATCACCCTTTAAATCCACTAAAATATATAATGTTAAAGAAATACTTCCATAAAAAAAAACTATTAAAGGGCTTTTTTTTAATTAAATATTTCTCAAAATAATTTCTAGTAGATGCAGTCTACCATTTCTTAGATATCCTAATTTAGAGTTGAGTTAATCCTAAATATAATCTAAAATAATTCTATTAAAAATAACTTCATATCACATTATTCCCAGAACAGTTTCCGGAACTTTGAAAGAGAATGAAACCCTATTGGATCTTATATAGTCTTCTAGTCTCCCATCCCTTAAATATTCTCGATTACACGCTACAAATCGGCTAAAATACATAATTTTTAAGGAATATTTTCATAGAAACTCCACTAAGAAGGTTTTGACTCCAAGCTTTAGAGTTCATATCACATAATTCTCCGAACAATCCCCAGAACTTTGAAATGAAATGAAACCCAACCCTCTTGGGAAATTGGGTTACTGCTCCACGAATATAAAGAATATTGCATTTATTTGTAATGAGATACATTATTAACAACCTAGAAAACCCATTTAAATGCTTCAGGTGTACTTTTTGTTTCAAAAAGTGTTCCAACAAACTCTTTTCCCTCAGAGAACCCCTCCGAGCAATCAAACCTCTTGTCTAATGGAATATCTCCTCCCAGATCCGACAAAGGGTTGTTGCCTCCAAAGAACTATTATTGTTATTATTGTTGGAGTAGTTTTTTAGTTGTTGGTAGTTGTTGGTTGTCTAGTGGTGTTTGCCGCCTGCTTGTCGGCCTGGAAAATGCACTCGAGCGTTCGGGCCCAGAGCTCCCTCCATCCCCCTTCTTCCTATCATCTGGTGAATGCGTTTTTTATTACTTACTGGGCCGTCTGACAAGTTTTACGTTCTTGTAGTGTTTCCCTCGATTGGCAGCGACATGCACTTGGCAGTCTGGATAGTTGTTGTTGTTCTTGTACTTGTAGTGTTTGGAAAACTCCATCGGGGTCGCGAATGTGCTACAAAGTGGCCATCGGCCGTGGAAATCTTGATGTGTCTTTGCCACAAAACAGAGGCGTGTCCGCAGATAGGTCTAATTGAAAAAGAAAAGTTGGTAGGATCTCATACAGGGTGACTTTTAAAGGGTTAGAGCTTCTAGTTCTAGAATCTGGATAGATCTTTTGTAGAGAAAGTCAAACTCCCTGGCACTGTATCGAATGGGGCCTGTTGCGCTCCATTAGCTAATGTTTCCCACACGCTGTCGGGGGCGAGCGGCAGATGCTTTCTTGTCTATCTTCTTCCCTAGACATCCTATCGGGTGTGTGGCATCTGTGATAAGCGGAACACAATGCAATCAACCGCTCAATTTCCCCACAACAGCCAGAGGGTAGCGATCTTTGCCCTTCTTTGCCCGAGCGGGTAATTAAAGTCAGGCTAGGGTACGCCCACAAAGAACCACCAGCTAGAATGCCTAATTAGTCGGAGATCGTCAATTAGCACTCTACCCCAAACTAATGAACCAGTGGGGCAGTTCCCGAAACCTTCAGACTCTCAGACCCCAGGCACTCTGATCGATTTAATTCAAACATGTTCGAATATCAAATCAATTGAACCCGTTTAGCAATTTGACATGCAAATTGGGTCCCCCCCTCTCGGCGGAGATCTCTGATAGTTCCACCATGACATAATCCCATAACTCAACCAGTTGGGAGACCCTGGAGGCATGATCTAATGGAGCAATCGATGCAATTTCGAGTATGATTTCATTGTGAAGTCAGGGGCCTAGTTCCACATTTAATAAATCTGTTGACTGCCATTATCGTTGATAATTGGAGAAATATATATATCTGTTCCCATGGAGGCAGTACCCCTTCTACCCCCTTCATATCCATTTATTTTTCGTCTATTTCCGAGCAATGACGTTGTCAAACTTGTTCCATTCTCTTGGCTCTTGGCTTTCGGCTGGTGTACTTTTTATCAACTTTTATTGTTTTGTGAGTTTTGCGGTTGCCTGTTTATTGCCTTTTCAACTGTCGCTTAATTGACTGCGTTGTGCCTCGCATAATTCTCATGGAGAATTGGTCATCCCGTCTGTGAGAACTGGAGACACCACCTGTACTCCTACCCGGAAGACCCACCAAAGAAAGCCTCATAACTAGCCCAATTCAATTACCTTCTTATCTCAAGGGCCGCCCGCCGACTGTTTTCATATCGCCTTTGGGGAATTATATTCTGGGACTATTGGCTCATAAACCTGAAGAATAGGGTGCTATTTTTAATGATTATTCAAGTTGTTTTTTAAAGGAATATTCTGGGAAGAGGCTCCTAATTTTAGTTGCAGTCTACAGTCTAGACACTTGGCGCGTTCGCTAAATAGTTTATCGTCTCAGCCCTTGGCCTTCAACTTCTCTGTTTGTTTTTTTTTTTTATTATTTTTTGTCCCAACAGCTGGTCTATCGTATCTGCCTCGTTTCAGTCCCATTCCGATCTCGATTTCGATTTCGTTTGCCATTTTTTGTTCAATTTGCGCAGCTAATTTGCAAGTTTAATGCGGACTGGGCCCGGGCCGACTTTGTTCAAATAAAGGCCAATATTCGCCGCCGTCTTACACACCGGAAGGTCGAAATCGTTAATCAGTGTTTATATAGAAGGCCCTCGCGATTAGATCAGCATCGTGTTTAGGGTTCCATTAGAGAGCCAGGTAGAGAGTCAGGCTATTACAGATTATTGTAGTTTTGTGTTAATTATTTAATTCCACAAATAGAATACAATTTTAAAAGCCCATTTCTCACAAAGTTTAATTGAATTTTGAATTGTTTTTGTAGAATCTTACAGTTTCGTAAGCCCCAGGGGCGCAATCATCGCTTATCTGCTGATAAGAAACCCAACTCACGCACATAGCTGAGAAAAAAAGGCAACCTGACCGACAAAAAACCCAAAAAAAAAAAAACAATTCTTTTTTTTACTGGACGGCCTTTGTTTTTTTATCGTTTTGATAACGTTTTTGGTTACTTTTTAGAAATTCAAAGGCCGTTTCTCCGTGGCAGTCGTCAGTCAACCTGTTGGCGACAGTTTGACAGCCACAGGGCACTATCTGATCGAGCACATGTCCCGCTTTAGGGTCTCTCGATATTCCGAATTTAGGCGCCTGGCTGGCATTTATGGAGCGATTTTACGCTATACAGTTATAGTTTGTTTATGTGCCGGCAGCAGCTGATAAAAAAAACAAAAGCCCCAAAGTCGTCGATCCCACGCGGCACTCGAGCCATAGCGATTTCCAATAGCAAATATTTAGAGGCGATAATTGGCCATCAAGACTAACTAAAAGGTGTTAGTATTTATAGAGCAGGGAAGGGAGTGGGGGAGAGTAAGGTTAAGGAGAGTATGAAAAATATAGATATCCTAGAAGAGAGCCTCTCTCTGCCCACTAATAACGGTACGAAACCAATAACAATTCAAGTTCTTCTCGTTTCTTGTATGGCTTTACCACCAGCTGCATCAGAGTCTTTCTTCGCTTATCTATATCTCTCTCTGAATGGCTCTATACTCCTTTTTCTTTTTATTTCCCGTACAAAAACTTTGCGCATGCGTATACTCTTCTAACGGCCACAAACCGGTCGCTCTCCTTTCCTTCTCCCTCTCTCTCTCTCTCTCGGTCTCTGTTTTTGCACCTTTTTCTGCGGTTTTTTGTTGACATTTCGTTGCACTCTTCCCACACGGTGTGCCTCTCAATCGAACAACTGTTGTTGCTTTGTGGTTTCCTTTGTGTTGTTGTTATTGTGGGTTTTGCGGTTGTTAGTTTCCGTTGTGCATTTTAACCTTTCATTCACAGTGGCTGTGAAAGCTTAGCCGAGACACAATTGATCTAAAACTGTGTTTGGATTATCAGAAATATTTTTGCTATTTATGGCTTATTGTTTTCTGTTTAATTTGCCAATGACCTACATACTACATATATGAAAAAAATGAGAGCTCAACGATAAGGTATTTTACTCCCCTTTCTCCTGATTCCTCGGCTTCCTCCACGAAATATGCAAATAGGCGGTGAATTAATCACAAAACTGTAATTTTAATTAACAGCCCAAAAGTAGGCTATAAGAAGTGTGTGTGTTTGGACTCTAAAACTGTAAAAGAAAGTGAATTAAATAAATATTAAGTTTTTTAATGAAAAATACAAAATATAATAAAATTTCTTTATTTTCTTTTATTTTTTTTCAGTTAAAGTATTAAATTTTAGCAAATATGTTGCTAGCCAAATTCTAGATAGGTAAACCAATTTAAAGTTAAGCCACGGCCCACACCCCACTGTGTGCAATAGGCGAGGATTAAGGATCCTGAACCGTCCCGGCAGCACGCTTGCCGATCAACTGCAAACACGGCGTCCCCGCGCAGCTACGTCCGCTCACGCTCCACCCCCCAGTCGCCCCACTCCCCCCAGGCGGCGGCACTCCTCGGCGGTAGAGCGGCCCAGCAGCACTACCACCCCCACCACCATCACCATCACTCCCCCTCGCCGTCACCATCGTCGCCATCGCCGTCGTGCCCCACGCTGCAGCTGCAGCCGCGGTTGCACCAATCCGAGCAGCAGCTCTGCCAGCGCCGGAGTCGCCTCTATGCATCGACGGGGAGTGCCGCCAACATCATGATGGATCGCGAATCCCTTAGCGAATGGGCTAAGGACAAGCCGCTCAGCATCCTGCAGCTGGACCCGGCGGATCGAGCGGTTCTCCGCATAGCAGGTAAGTGTATCTGCAAGATACTTTTCCCTAAGCCTTCGACCACTGTGGCGCCATTGAGGTAATCCCCGGCTGATAACTCTCTATTGAAATGGCAATATGCTGAGCAAATATTTGGCCAACCCACCAGACACCACCCCACCCGGCACCAGCACCACTCGGTGGTTCATTGCACCCGACAGTGCTTGTCAAACTGCGCTCGCAATTCCACTCGTTTTTCATCGACGCAGCGTTATTATGCGCTAATTCCACGCTAACGGTGGCAGCCTCCGCCCAGTCGGTGCCCCGTTCTTGGGTGTGTGTTGTACTTGCAACATGTACAGTGCCCCCTCCCACCCCTCTATCACCCATGCCCGCCTGCCGGTTTTGTCTGTCAGTCACTTGTAATTCTATTTCTGTTCCGCCAACGGAGTTTTTCGCAGCCCACAGAACCATGGGTTATACGCGAGTCTATGTCCTCCTCCACCTCCCTGCTGGCTGCTGCCTGCTGCCGTGCCTGCCTTTTTGCAGTGCCAACACAGAAAAATCGAAATTTATGTCGCAGTCGCAGCCCGAGGGCATTGTTAGTCCCGCACAATAAAATAAAAACATGAAAAAAGGCCAAACTTCAGCAATGGAAGCACTGCCGAGTGGCAGTCTATTGAATAGTTGGCCCAGGCCCATTGTGCCCAGGCCCGTGTCTATTAAAAACGCTCTGGCAGTGAGGAGTTCAAGGCGGAGGGATGGCGGAGCAGTCCGAGAATGTCAGATCAAAGCCTACGCAAATAAATTACATATCCATCTAGAGGGATCTGAGGAATGTTTGTCGAGAGATTGAAAATAAGTCAATTGGATGTGGATATAATGACATATATATATAATGTAGATAATATCGACTAAGTCATAGAATAAGTCGTTGGAGAGTAATATGAATTATTCCATAAGATGTAGCAGTTTAGCTTATAAGTTATGACTAAGGTTAGAGAATTAATAAATAAAGTAAAGCTGAACATTTCATTAAACTTGAATTTTACGAAAAAATGGAATAAGACTTCAAAACCCTACAAGAGTATCAATCAAAATAAGACCTGGCTTAAAAATCAAACTATTACTTCTCAAGATTGCATTAATAGATTCGACATGATTAAATGTCATGGACTAAGACCTGGCTACTCGAAACTTGCGCATGAATTCATTTTCAAGAAAGAACCCTCATCCGTAATACGGATTCCGTATTGAAGAAGATGCAATAAAGAAATAGATATTTTCCATATATTGGAGGAATATCCTTTCTATATGAGAATATCTCCCATATAATAATTATCTCTCTCCAATCAATAATATATTTCTATCTTAAAATTTTGAAATATACTAAATTATACCGCTTCATGTTATATCCCCAAATAATACCCCTTTAATAAAAAAAAAAACGAAATAAATAAATAAACTTTGATTATTCGTAGCTCCATCGCATTATTTGATGCTTAAGATAATACTATTATCTTAAACGAAACAGCCCGAAAATACAAATGCGAATCAGGATTCAAGGGATCGTCCTAGAACCCTATAGAGTTTTATCATAAACTTGACTCGACATTTCTCCACCTGTCTCGTGAGAGTGCTCTATTTTGCTGTTGGCAGCTGCTCGGTTCTAGACACTTTTCTTATTATTAACACTACAAATTTTATTAATAAACCAACTAAAAGCTTGGATAACTCTCGGACTTTGCAAGCTTAATCCTTTGGAGGGATAAACGCAAATACACTGAAGCTTTCAAATGGAATCGTTATCCTGCAACTCCAGCAATGGCCTTTAATAATCTCGACTTTCACTGCATCTTGAGCTAAGTCTTCTGAATATAAGTCACATACATATATGCAGTGATGGAAAAAATAATAGAAACGAATTTTCCCTTTGGGTTCAAATACGTATTTTTAATAAGAAACGTGGTAATGATTGAAAATCGTGTTCGTGAACCCTAACAATTGTCATTGTTATTTCTCAAGAATCTTGATCAAATTCCGGAGTGGCAAAGTTTGGACGATTCCCTATAGATCCCCTCTTATAAAAGACCTGAAAAAGTTTTTGGATCGGTAATTTATAAAGTTGTGTAAGGGACTTCTCTTCAGGTATTCAGGATACAGGTGTAAACGGATATTAGCCGCCTAACGTGTCTATATATGATCAAATTGCAATTTTCATATCAAAACCCTGGAACCAAAATGTTGATAAATATTTTATATATTTGTGTGAGTGTTTAAGAGGAACTTCAATGGAAATAATGTTACTCCAATTAATCTTTCTCCAAAAATAAAGAAGCCATTATTCAATCAACATACCTTTACAAAATCAAGACAATTAATTTTGGAACCTTATTGGTATACCTCAATGGAATCCTCAAAAAACTCCTAGGAATACTCTCTAGTTAGTTCTCAATCTGGCCAAATCCCTGAAACATTTAACCTTAAAGAACAAATCCATAGAAAACTCAAAATGACCCATATATGGCCCATACTCATGACTACATCTCGGCCAATTTCTATATCCCTAAGTCCACTAAGTGGAGTACATTAAATACGATTCCTAGGACTATTGACAAGACATCTGGATCAAAACCCTGGATCAAGAATAGGATAATCCAACTCTAATTCATAAATGGAATCCTACAATTATCTCCTAAAATCCTTAAATTCTATCCCTGATCGGACTATTTCCTATCTTTCTACCTTCACACCTGCCTACAACATAGACTTATTACACTTTTGATTATGGGGAAACCCCCATATAACCCCTAACACTATCTATATCTCCTTTTAGCAACAAAACTTAATCTTGTTGGGGGTATTAAGAGGCCGATATGACAATGCACATGCGTCAGCACTCGCCGCACAATTGTAATTACTTTCAATTGAAATTGATTCAATAAGAGAAACGCCCAAGACCGTCAATGAAACTGAAAACTGAAAACAAAACTTGTTTTACCTTAACAAGCCCGACTGTGACTCGGTGGCTCCAAGTATTTTATATAAATTGAGATTGATGTCTGGGATTAAGGCCCCTGGAGGGAGACAGATACCACCTCCACAGACACCAGTTTCCCCCATGTTCCCATTCCAGAGGCAAATCCACATCCAAAACCAAAGCCGATTCCGGAGTCGATTTTGCGTGTGAAATGAAAAGTTGGAGTTTCGGGCTTAGAGCTTAGACTCCGCCGGCTTGAGCCCCCATTTTGTGGCATTTTGTTTGTCGGTTTTGGAGTTTTAATTAGCCCTGAACAGCCAGTTAGCCCACACACGCCATTCGGGCCGCAAATGCATGTAACGGTTGCCAGACGCCCCCACAAACGGCCTAGATGGGAATGGGCCCAGACCTACTATGCCTGAAAGATGTGTTAATGCTTCGATTAAATAATATTTGCCAACTCTTGTTTACAATTGTTTTGTGGATATTTTTAAACTCTTTCCATCGCTCGCGATTTGCTCACTTTTTGGTCGGAGACTGGGGCTACGCCTGCGCAGATTGGACCAATTTTGGTTAGAAGCCAGCTGAGTTTTGGCCCGGCCAGTGGGTAGTGGGTATAATATTCGTATCGAGCCATTTTCGATTTCGATTTCGGATTATTTTGACAGCGTTCGACAGCATTCTTATTTTTAGATGGATGTTATCACCCTTCCCGGCCCGTCCCATTACCATTAATCGACATTTTGAAGCTTTGAAGAGCGGTGTGGGCCCATTATCGCGCCATCGTTATCGTTATTGTTATCGAGGTGGCCCAAGGCTTGGCCTTGGTGTGGGTGGGCGCCAATCCCCCGAATGCACTGCACAGCTTTTCATTAATAAATCTAGCTTGGCTTGGTGTCTCTATGTATCTGAGAACTATTAGATATTCTAGGCACAGATACACGCTCGATCACTTTAATGGCCCGGCAACAGGCGGTGGCTGCCACCGGAAGTACAGTTGCCACAAGGAAGTGGGCAGTACTCTGCCTTTCAATCAACTGTAATAATAGAAGAATTCTCTCTCGAGAACGAGTATCTTATTTTATGAGTTTGTAATTTTATCGCCATTTTCGGTTGTTTGTTGTGTATCTGAGAGATACAGATACGCCCACCGACACAACACGATGTTGTTAATTGAAAACTGATAACTGTTTCTCTGTTCTAGGCTTCAGTTATTGCTTCTGCTTCTGTTTCTGTATTTCTCTGAATCGGTCTTCTATATATATTCGGTATTCCTAACCTATACCATACCATCTTCTTTGGCTTTTGGGGCTTTTAATTGTCGTTATGTATTCGGCGCTGGCGCTGCGTATCTGTATCTGAATAATGGGGTGTGCTTGTGTGTTCGTATAGATATCTCTAATTAGTTTTCAATTCAATTTGCATTTCTCGTTCTCTATGTTTCCCCCATATCTCTATCGACTTGCCCCTTTTGCGGTAATTATTCCTCTCAAGTTATGACATTTTTAAGTGTTCTGGAATCTAATGACTTGAGGACTCGACTTGGCTTAGTAGTCTCAACATTGTTGTTGAGGTTTTTATGTGCATTTTGGTCACAAATTAGTAATCTCTAATCAAGTTGTCTTCAAAGAAGTTTATGCTTTTTAGAAAGTGACTTTAAATACCTATTTTTATTAATTCACTAATTATACATTCAAAATGGCACGTGTCTACTCATTAGTATTAACTATGCATGGCTTAAAGTCCCAAAATATTACCAAAAAATAAAAAATGGTAATGTGGTAGTACCAAAGACCCAAACAAACATCTGGCTGGGGGCTGACTGACAGGTGACATTCGTGATTCAGAGTCACACGGACGTGTGGTATCCAACTCCCCACCAAGGCTGCGCCACCATATGGCACCTTTCCCAGATCCATCCCTGCACCCTCCAGTTGAGGCCAAAAAAACAACTCTTCTGACTCATTAAGATAAGCAATTTTGTGTGTCAATTTGTCGGATCAAAGCCTAGGACCGCCCGCCACTTCAATATAAATAAAATCCATGATATCCGACATAATAA